CGTCACAGCTCACAGCAACCTCAAACTCTTGGGCATAAAAGCGATTCTCTTGCCTCAGCCTCCCAAGTAGTTGGGAGGAGCCCGCCACAACTCCTGGCTATTGTTGTTGTCATTATTGTTTGGCAGGCCCGGGCCGGGTTCGAACCCACCAGGTATGTGGCCGGCGCCCTAACCGCTGAGCTACAGGCTCCGAGCCTTCCCCGGCTTTTTGAGTTAGACGCTTTTACTTAATAAAGTGTGAGTTAAGCACGAGCGCGGCGGCCTGGACACGGACGCCGCCACCGTGGTCGCGGAAAGCCCGGTGGCCCCTGTGGGAGGCCCCGCCCTGCCCCGCCGCTGCAGGCGTCCTTCCCAGGCACCGCGTGGACCTCGCTCTGCCGACGCGTGGGGCCGGCGGGCGCGTGGTGCTCCCGGGCGCTGCCGCCCGCTGCCGCTCAGACTGCGTGGTTGCGAGTTCCTGCTCCTCTTCGGTGGGCGCCGCAAAGGGTGGTTGCTGGGTCACACGTTTGTGGGAAAGGGACAGACCGTTTTCCTAGAAAGCTGTGGTCTCCTGCTCCCCGTGGCTCAGGACTGTGACCCCAAGGCTGTGTGAGGGGTCACAGCGTTTGTTTTGGATTTTTTGAAGTCAGACCAACAGGTGTGACAGTCGCGGGCGCCTAAATACTGACCACGCTGAGAACCCACCCACGCATGTGCTTGTGGTCTACTCATGTGTCGTCTGTAGTGAAATTTGAAGCGTTCTAATTTCTTGCCCACTTTGTAATCTTTTATTGTTGTTTTGAGTGTTGGTTCCTTCATGAGACGTGTGATTTGCAAATATTACCTCGATCTGTGGCTTGTCTTTCCATTGTTTCAATTGTGTCGTTCGGACAAAGTTTTTAACTTTGATAAAATCCACCTTCTTTTATGGTTTGTGCTTTTTATATTTCATACATGAACAATTGCCCAAACCAGTGACAAGAAAATTTTCTCCTCTTTTCTTCTTGAAGTTTTATAGTTTTAGGTTTCACATTTAATCCAAGTTCACTTTAAATTTTGTGGAAGGTGTGAGGACGGGCCAAGGTTCTTTTTGCATGAGGAGGTCCAGTTCTTCAGCACCATCTGTTGAGAGCCTACCCTTACCCCGAATGCCATTTGCTCCTTTGTAGAGAGCAACTGACCACATTTGAGTCTAACTTTTCCCCATACCAGTCTGGACTAGTACAGTGTTATGGTAGGAAAATCTTCAAAGCAACGAATCTGTGAATCCTCTTTGTTCTAATTCCTCTGACTTTTCCTATAAATTTTAATATCAGCTTGTCACTATCTAAAAAAAAAAAAAAAACCCCAGCTGGGATTTTAATGGGACATTAAATCTGTGATCTGTAATCTGGGGACAACTGACGTCTTTGTGAACATGGACTGGCTCACTGTTTATTTAGGTTCTCATTGGTTCTTTTCAGCCGTGTTCTCTGGTTTTCAGTGTACACATCCTGCGCATTTAAAAAGGATTTATACCCTAATTATTTCACTTTTTGAAGTGCTTTTATAAATGGCAGTGTGTTTTGTTTTGTTTTTAAAGAGACAGGGCCTAGTTCTGGATCCCAGGCTAGAACCTCACGCTCCTGGGCAGGAGCCATCCTTTTGCCTCAGCCTCACACAGCCTTGGGGTCAGAGTCCTGAGCTGCAGTACCCAGCCATAAAAAGGGGTTTTTTAAATTGTTTCAGATTAATTGAGGGTACAAAGAATTAGGTTACAATGTTTGTGTTTGCCATAAATAGTTTTTAATATCCCGATTTCCAGTTGTTTATTACTAGTGTACAGATACACATTTGATGATAACGGACTTGCCCTATGCCACACGTCCCTGCTAAACCGACTAGTTATTAGGAACATCTTTGTACATTCCAAGGAATTTTCTACAATTATGTTATCTGAATAGTTTTATTTTTTCCTTTCTCATGTGTCTGCCCTTTAATTTTGTCTTGCTTTATGAACTGACCTGGGCCTCCAATACAATGCTGAACAGAGATGGTAAGAGGGATTACGTTGACTTGTTCCCAGTCTTGGGGAAAGATCATGCTCCTTCATCATTAAGCATAAGGTTACTAGCTAAGGAACTTTTATAGGTTTTCCTTACCATGAAAAGTTGACTTATATTTCTAAGTTGGTCAGGTTTCCCTTTTTTTTCTTTTTTTTTTTTTTT